ACTCACATTTTCAAGGTCAATTTTAATCATTCCACATATAAATTGTACTATTAATAATTTTATTGATATGCAAATAGCATTAATTTTTGTGAACATTTTGGTGCAATATGAATCATAAAAAAGAATGCACTCTCTCAACCCAATCTATCATTTCACTTACCTTATATTTGCTTATTTTTTTCAAAAAGTTTTGCCTCATTATTTGATTGTGATTTTTGTCTCTGAATTCTGAAACAAAGTTTGGATAGGTAATCCTTTAAAAATACAGAATTTCTCCTGTTTTGTAGATTACGTTCACTATTTCCCCCTGTCATCATTCTTTATTCACTAATATAAGTATGTGGCAGTATTTTGAATATAAATGTGCAGAAATATAATTCAATCTTAAAACTAGCAATGCTTTTCCAGTTCAGCGATGCTACACTTCTGTCCCGCACAACTCCTTTTGTGACATTCCAGGGCACCAAATGAACAGCAACATCATTCACACACACTATCCATTTTGGAAAGGATTTTATGGTTCACTGAATCTTCTATGTGTCCGAAAAGTGGTACCCAAGATAATATAACTATTCAGATACTTGGGACATAGTTTTAATTTTTTCTCAAAACATAATACAAAAAATATTATTGCAACTGATATTTACAGATGAGTCTGTAAGTCATCTACTGACTTTTTTTATTTCTAATAAAGCTACATTATTCAAGCAAGAAGTAAATGAAAGTCTCTCCAAAAAGAAGGAATTACTTTATATATATATTAATAAGGGAGCGTCTACAGTGGAGGAAATAAAACTAACATATCTATCTATATATTACAGTGAACAGCCTGTTTGTTTTGTCAGGAAAATGACCATATTTATCAATAGTGCACAGCATGTTTAGCTAATATGGGAGAAAGAAAGAGATGGGTGAGAAATATAGATGGACGCCTGGGAGAATCTAAGCAGAATGAAGAAAATGAGCAATCTTTGTTAAATAAGTAAGATGTATTTATGTGTAGGTGCCTATGTATGCAAATATGAGTTAAAGAAATCACTGTTTGATTATATTTCTTTTTATTTCCCAGAGACTCACTGAGCCTCATGCCCAGCCCAATTTGTTTTTTGTTTTGTCTTTTTTTTGTTTTTTGGTGGGGTGTTGAGTCAAGGTGTTGCTATGGCACTAATTTGCCCAGGTTGAGTCAAACTTGCAAACTTGCTGCCTGTGCCTCTCAAAGGTTTGGGATTAGTGTATGCAACTAAAACTGGCCTATATTTCTTTACAAAGTATTTTTTGTCAGTTTGTCACCCAGGAGAGATGGGAAAATTGGACTATGTCCTAATGAAAGCTATGTGACAAATAAAATATAGAAAAATATAAACTAGAGCAATCAGGTAAAAAAATATGTGAAAGATAGAAATTGATGGTGGATAGAAGATGGAAATCAATTATAGAGAAAATAAGAAAATAGTGAACATTACATGATGATGTTATTAAAACAGAAAAAATAGTAAGGAAGTACTAATGAATCTTTTCCAAAGTGATAAAGCAATATTATACAGGCTGATTTTTACACTTACACACATACACTAATATGTGTACAAGTGTCTAAGCAGTAGTATGGAATGCTCAGCCAGTCAACACAGTCACGAGGTTAAAAGACTAAATCTCTTCTGTTAGAACTCAAATATTATGTTTGCTAAGTTATGGCATTAAATGAATTTTTTACTTAATATTTTCATGTATTTTGGTATTTTGTGGATCAAATGCTATCATGTGTTGAGAAGAATCTGGATTTATAAGTAGTCAAAATTTTGATATTGGTTGTTAGTTAATTTGGTAAGAGTTGAAAAAATACTACAATACCTATATATAATATTTTTGTTTTAATATATGAGAATGTATTTTTGAGAATGTAGTGAATCTTTTTATCTTGCTCTCAGATATAACTGAAAGCCTACATAAAATGAAAATAAAATATACATCTGTCAAAATTGAGACGTATCTGAAACTCTGGAGTACACAGTCATAGGAGGGGCAGCTTCTAAAAGTTTAAGAAGTTGAGTAATGAGTCCAGAAAAACATGAAGGGGCATATCTTTGCCTGTGAATCTTTCAGAGCACATATACAACACAACTAATCAAGTAAGCAGTATTCCAGGAGTATAGAGGAGTACGGTTTCCCAGCTTCAACAGTGGAAATAAAGTGCAAAGATTGACTAGGGAACTTGCTAATTTGGTAGCTTGGCAGGCACGGGCTCATAATCAAATGCATCTTTAAGTGGCTAGAAAGAAACTTCTTATTGCAGTAAGTTGGAAGCAGTTTTAGGGTTGTAGTCTAGACTCTCAGGAGATCTTATGCACACACAAATAACCTTAACCATAACCAAAACTCTAGTAATCAGGAATATGTCCCTAGACTTTCCTCAAGAAGAATGACTCAGTTCAAAGAAGCAAAATAATAAAATGACCTAGGAAAATAAAATAAAACTAAACACCTAAAACACTCCAAAAAATGGTCCTGTTGATTTGCTTAAAGTTATCACCATTGTATCACAATTATACAATTATTAAAGGAATTATCTTTATAAAAGGACTTATAGGGAATGAATGAAGAGCAGAAAGTAAATATGAACTTTTATCATTTGGAAAACAAAAGAAATAAAAGTTGCATTGGGAGCAGCATGAATGTTACAAATAGCTCAGATAAATCAGGACAGAAAACATAGACAAGACTTAAAAAGTGAACAAAATCAGATGAGAGTAGAAAATATTGAACAAGATGTAAAGTGGTTTTTTTTAACTATGTTTAATAAGTGATTAACCTGTAAGTAGAAATATCAAAATAGCAGAATGAAGGAAAATACTTAGAGATTTAGTTGGAGGAAAAACAATCATATATAAAAGAACACTGAGTGTGCTTCTTTAGAGACAATGTTGTGGAGAACTTGGAGAGACAGAGAGAGAGAGAGAGAGAGGGAGAGAGAGAGGTAGAATTGTACTATTGTACATCCCAGAAAGGGCTGACCTATAATTGTTTACAGTAAAATACATCCTAGTAATTTAACTGAATTTCAAATTTCATAAATATAAATGCTTTGGACACCTAAGGAAAAAAAAGATTTTAAAAGATTTAATTCTTTAAGATAAAAAACTTAAGCCTACTTTTAACTTCTCCCTCACAATATTTATTGTTACAATGATAGTGAAAAATCACCTATGTAATATTCAAGAAGAAGATGTGCAACTCAATATATTTACAGATAACCGAACTTCTCTTCAAACTAGAATGCAACAGGGACAAGGAAAAATACTTTAAAATATAGGAAACCAAAATTCCTGGAACATTCATTTGAACTACAAACTCACTTTGAAGAAAATTTCAGAGAACACGTGTAATTGATTATAACAAAATGATAAATGCACACTCAAGGGACATTAAAGTATGTAACTATTTTATTGAGTAGAACTAAAAGGCAAGCAGTGAGTCGATTGTGAAATATAATATAATTCTAATGAAAATGATGAGGAACTATACACAAATAAGTAAGGTAGCATAAGTGTGCTAATTTCTAAATGCTTAATAAAGAAAATAAAATCATATGTAAATGCATAAACTGAATAGTAAATAGGCATAAATATGAAGCACAAGAATGGTTACAAATTTTAATAAAACAAGGAAGTAGAAAGTAAGGATTGAAATATAAAATCTAGTAGAGGAAATGAAATAATTCTCTTTCTACCATAAACCTTAGCATTCCTTTTAAATTTTAAAATCCATTCAAATACCACTCATTCAAAAGAGTAGAAAAAGAAACAAAAATAAATGAACAAATGAGTTAGCACATAATAAAAACCTACTTATCTGAGGAAAAAAATAAACACAACTCATCATTATAAATTTGTTTTACAAATTGCCAAGAAAGCGTGCCACTGTGCACAGAGCAGCAGTCGTCACCAGGCCAACCAGAAGCAGGAGATTAGACTGTGCTGATTTTGTCCTGGGCGACCGTGAGGGTTCAGTGTGCAGTGACCACTAATGTAACTGAGTACTTGGAAAACAATGTGTCTTAGCTACTCCCACCTTACTGACACAACATACCCGACATCTACAAGCTAAAGCAGGAAAGGTTCGTTTTAGCTTACAGTTTGTGGAGTTTTCAGTCCACTGTTGACTGGCTCCCAAGGCAGAGCAGCATGGCAGAGGAGAAACAGTCCATGCCAAAGCAGGCAGAAAGCAGCAGACAGAGAGCTTCTCTCTCCCTGTTTATTCCACACAAGCTACAAGCGTACTGGTTGGGCCACCCACCCCCAAAGTGGGCCTTTTCATTACCCATACCCAGAATGATGGTAAGCTGATCAGTGGACTCATCTAGTTATCACACACCCATAATGTACATCACATATTCATAATCCAGCCATCTCCCAAAAGGCCCACCTATCAACACAGAAGGCTTTGCAGGCACATACAGTTAAAAGCTATAACACCAACTTACAACAAGTTTCGAGAAAGAAGTTTGTTACCCTGAGAGAGGCTACAGGTGATGTAAGAAGTCTTGGGTCCACCGTGAGACGGTCCTCTGAGAAACAAGAACATTCCTATCCCCACACACATAACAGATGGACTTGTGATTATGCAGGCCCTTTTTGGCACCACAGCTGAGGATCTCTGAAAATCAGCCCTAACCAGTTATGTATCTCAGTGGGCACTTCAATCACTGGGCAAAGATTTGAAAGGCAGCTTCCTTCCTGGCTAGGAAAGCAACAATGCCCAACTATCCTTGGCAGTTCTTTGCTTTCTCAAGAGCACAAAATGAAAGATAGATAATAGGAAACAGGGAGATCTTCTGCAAAAAGGAAGGGGAGCAAGAGCTGGAGGGAAGGGGACAGGAGAAGAGGGGAAAAGGATTTTTAAAAAAAGAGAATTAAGATGTGTTATGTACATGTACAACTACCCACAATGAATGAAATCATGATGTACTGGAAATGTGGACAAAAAAATAAAGAAAAAGGTCTTACCTTTCCTAGGAGACAAGAATGACACCTGGGCTGTTTCAGGTATTTCCATCCTAAATCAGCATACTGCATTTCCCTCACATACAAGAGTTACTAAAAAATAAAAGCAGTAAAGAGTCTTGGGTTGGTCCAAGGCCACCAGGACAACCATCCTAAAGTATGGAATTTGTTATGGGAGACTACATAATAGAGAAGTGTTGATATATACTGAAATTAGCCTAAATATCATAAGACAGTAGTACCTTAGTTTACAAACTTAATTTATTCTATGATTTTGGAAAAGATGACCACGTTCGTGTTTTGGGTAAAAAAAAAAAAAAAAGATGGGTATGGTCATATCTTTCACCCAATAAGAGGTTGCAAATAAAAACAACACTTTGTTAAACACTTCTGCTTGTGAACCACTGTACTCATATAAAATTCACATGCTACTAGTGATTTTAAATGATTATCATTATGTTTCCACAGTTGACTAAAAGTAGATTTGAAGTTAATGTAGTAGAATAAACTGATATGCTTTAATAATAATAATACCTATGTACCTAAAAGGCAATAGATATATGAAAAGAGAATACCTTGATTAGATCATTTAATGATGTATATGAATACATGTGTATATGCATGCATATGAATACTAGTATATTGCTACACAAGCTCTAAATTGTGTTCATGAATATGCTTTATTAGAATTATGTTTAAATACAAGGTATATACACAAAGGAGCTTGTATTTTGATTATTATATTCAATGTCTGACAACTGACCTCATCTTTGATTACTTTTGTATGTTTTCTCAGTTTCCGTTTACTGATATTCAATATACACTCTTGCCTTTGCAATTTCATGCTCTATTAAAAGTTGATAGAATATTATAATGTGATGCTCATAGCTTCTTACTGTAGTACATTATTCAAAATATCACATTTACATAAATAAAATAACTTTCCTTTAAAATCGCATGTTATGACCACTTTCAGTAAATAAAGTGTATTTGGATTTCGTTTTATACTACAATATTTTTTATAAATTCAAATATTATACAGAGATATGCTTTATGTGTTCACAAATTTGGAATTGTTTCCAGGAAAATATTTCAATTCTTTATTTCTTGTCCACCAGTAATATACATTGGAAATCTACTTCTAAAAATTAACCTCCTACCATAATAATACCAAAACTTATTTTAGCATAGAATGCAATACAAAAGTAATAAAAATGATTTTTCAAACATTTTAAAGATAAATACTGTTTTCAATCTATATTTGAACTGATCTTTTATACTCACTTTTTTCTGATTTGTTTTTCTCACTTTTAAAATTATGAATGCAATTAATTTTCAAAAGAAAATAACTTTTTTCTTTGTAATTTTCTCATAATGAATATTAGCAAAATGTTTTCCTCTATGAGTTTCTGAATTGTATATTAAATTAGGGTCATGAGTCTTTAAATTATCCTGAAAAGTTAATTTAGATCAGGGATTAAGTGGTAAATTCTAGGTGTGTATAGAAAGAAGTTCTATAATCATTTGAGAATCAAAGTTTTAATCTGTAATGGCATTAAGTTATTCCTGTAAAATTCTAATTAGAAAAACTGATGCTGTTGTAATGGCTTCATAACATCAGATTATGTATTCACATAATATTTCTATTTTATTTAGTCATAATAACAAATGATAATATTTCTTTTGGTCATTTTGAATGATAAAATGTCATAAAATCCTTATCTTCTAAAAGCAAATACTATCAATAGCTTTAATCTTTAGGGTAAAAAATGTGAATTGCATAAGAAAGGATTGTTCCTTCTTTTGCTTATCTTAGATTCTTAAATAATGTCTAATACTCAAACACACAGAAAGACAAGGAGTGTTGGTTGAAAAAATGATGAATGATCTAGAAAGGCTTATGAGTTTACAGAAATTTAGTATCAAAATATTTTCATGAAGAAATAATAATATGGATTCTTAGATTTTAATTCAAAAACAAGTAACTGTAAAGGATATCTGTGCAGGAAGGTCTTGATTAAAAAATGTACTCTCTATTTTGCTAATAAAAAGGTACACCAAATTAGACTTCTGGGCAATTTCATTATATCCTGTGTACTTAGGCAATACTTTTTTTTAAAATTTTTTATAGGTGTAGTCACAGATTTTTAAAGCTCAGGTTACAAAGTTTTATCATTTTCCATTAACCAATCTCAATAAATTCTACTATAGTATTTTGGTAATACAGCAGTCTGTATATTCCAGGCTATGATGTAGTAATTATGTACTGCCAACATATACTAATGAAAATGAAAATTAAAAATACTGCATGTATACCTATGTGACAAATGCAATCAAATCTTCATGGGTAATGAATTTAAAATATTTTGGCCATATGCTAATATTATTGTTCAAATAATTAAACTAAAAATTGAAATTTGAAGGAAATATTCAGATATAATGAACAACACAAAGCATCTTATATGGCTATATTTCTTCTATTTCATATAATTCACAAATATTTTTGTTCATGTAAAAGGAAAAGTTTACTGTTTACTTCAATAAATTTGTTGAATTGTTTTAAGTAAGGCAGCCAAACTGCAAGCCAGAACCAACTGTTTCAATTGTAATTAATTGTTCCTGACAGGATAAGCAGACACTGCTGTGTTTTGGTGACACTGACAAACATCAGAAGCAAATACAAGATAGTGACTCTTACTCTTGTCCCTGTAGAGTACTCAGACTATATAAACTTACTAGGAAGCCCACATCACAAAATAGGTATACAAGATAGGTCTGAAGTTAAAAGATAGTAGCTTAATAAACAGCAGAAATAGAAAACAGCTACTACTTTCTAAAACATGTTAGTTGATATTAGTCAATTAGTCAATATCCCTCATACTGGAAAATGAAGTAAAATACATGGTGAAAATTTAAATCATACTAAGATTGCAGTTTAAGTTACCAGGACTGATATATGACATAGATTTCAGTGTGCAAAGTTAAGAGCATTTTCAGAACAAAACTCGTGAAAAAGAGTAGAAGGCAATGGAAGAGAGAAATCAATTTGAGATACACACTCAAACTCCACAGGAAACTGAAATAAAAATGTTCCTTCTGTGTTGTTTCCAGTCTGGCTATGATTTAAGATCATTACATACCCTAATCAGTCAGTCATTTGATGTACTTTCTCTTAAAAAAAGATGAAACCTTATGCAATCTGTTCCATTTACACAATCTCTAAGGGGATAAAATGTTTCTCTGTACCTACTATCTTCATATAACAGTCTTGACAACTGAGACAACATTGTCTCTGGAGGATCTGGTCGATATATTACAGTGTCATTCAAAGTCAGAATGTCCAATGAAATTATCTGAAAATGCTTCTATTCTTCAACGAATGTGACATGAAGATGGGTTTATGGCACATGTGACTGTAATAAAAAATTATGACAACACTAAATTCGGGTAAAGATGCAGAGAAATTATATCACTCACAGGTTACTTATGGGAAAGTAAAATGTTACAGGCACACTGGAAAACAGCTTAGTAGATGTTATAAAATACACAGTTATCACTTTACTTGGCAAAAGTTCTTTTGAATATTTATTCCACAGGAATGAAAATGTATACTCAAATGAAATATGTACAAGAAATTGTACCATCTTTATTTGCAATGGTCAAAAATAGAACCACACCAGAAGTACTTTGAAAGGTAAGTAGTTAACCACGTTTCAATTTATCCAAACCGTTGAACACTTCTCAACAATAAAAGAAGCTGTACACAATACTTACACATACTATAGGATGTAGGTCCAGGGTCTCAGACTGAGATAAAAATTCCAACCCCCACAGTTGCCCATTATATGTGTCTATTTATAAAGTAATTATGAAATGGAGGTTAGGAAGGGAGGGCAGTATAGTCGTTACCAATAGTAGGGAACCAAAATGGAAAAGGAGTTGGAAGATGTGTGTCACCCAAAATAAGAACACAAGAAGTACTGTGATGTTGGATACATTTAGTAACATCACTGCCATGGAGTAGATAAACCTTAAAAAGATGAAATTTTGTAGAATTTACACATATACACACATACACACATATACAATAGTAGAAGTCAATCTGTATAAATGTGAATATGATTGATGAAAATCAACTGCTCCAATATCCTGGTTGAGATAATGTATATTAGATTTTTCTCCAGGAGAAAAATGTACAGAGGATCTTTTAATCTTTTTTTATTACAACTTCAATTGAATCTTAAATTATCTCAATAAAATTTCATTAAAATGACTAACATGATCTAAAGATTAAAATGCTTATTAGTAGGCCTGAACATACAGTGATAAAAGTAATATGCGAAGGAATAAAGAAAACATTAGAATTTGATCATTAGTTCACTAGCTTGACAAACAGAATTGAACCAAGAACTCAGAATATCCACTGAGCTACTGCAATTGGTATATATCATTGTAAAGATAAATGTTCTCATTTAGTTCTTTCATAGAGTTTTCTGAGGACTTATGCTCCACTTCTGTATTCATCTTTTTACCCTCAGGAGCTATTATTTCTTGTGTGCTGTTCCTGATCAGGAAGTGTTTGCAGACTGGATATATAATTTAAGTTCATTGATAGAAAATGGTACACAAGCAATTGAATGATGGATTGAAAAGGATAGACTCTTTGTCTAAGGAAGTTAACAGAAACAAATTAAATAGAAACAGGGGTTTGGAACCTTTATTAAAAAAGCAAATAAAGATTAAATTGAATTAAAATTTTAAAAGGTGTATGATTGATAAAGGGAGTTTTTATTAAAACTTTTGAAAAAAGAAAAACCATACACCTCTTCTATGAATCAGATCTAAAATTACAGTTTTACCAAGGACCAAAATGTCTAGGACTCTAGAACCATTTGTCAATCATCCTTCTCTCTTACAAATATATCAGTTAATCTATAATCCCTTTTTATATCACCTCAAAATTACTTCTCTGCCTCTATTCTCACTGAAACTATTCCAATTCCAGTTCTCACTGTGTCCAAACTAAACCACAAGAAAGATCTCCAGATTTCCATACTAACTCACCATCTCCTAAACATCATAAGCCCACATAT